GTCGCACAGCAGTGTGGGCTGCTGTGCTGTGATGGAGCTCCATCCATATGTGCATTGCTTGTACAGTTCCCATGCACACCCTGTAGAGTTGCTGGGAGCCAGAATGTGATGTCACTTCAGTCCAGGCACCTTTGCAGGACATGCGAGAGAGCTATAAGCAATGCACGTATGGATGGAGCTCCCTCGTGGCCATACCCCCCAACCCACCTCACCTCAAGAAGACACTCTGCGCCAGGGAGCATATTTTGAATGGATGCTCAGCGCGAGAGGGATTTGAGGGAAAAGTACATAAGTGTACATTGTCACTTTTATTTTGAAGACCGATTTATATAATATTCCAGGTTAGGTAATTCTGTAAAAATTCACCTTTTTTCCATATAAAGCCAATTTTCCCATTACTAATTTAAAATTCCTTTTTGTAGCGAGCTGCTTGCATGTTTTTTTACATTTTGACTTTTTTTTTTGTCACAACCACTGTGCGGTTTCAGAAAAACCTCACAAGCTCTCCTGATATGAAAATAAAAACAAGTCCATCGAGTTCGACCTACGACCCAATGACTGACTTTTGTGCACCCAATTCTCTTACTTGATAAGTCTTGGTTAGAAGCTGTGTGCAGATTTTTGTTCTTAATGATTGATTTCACAGAATAATCTATCCCTTTAGAGGAGGCATAGACGGTTGTTTTCTCACGTAGGACAATTCAGAGTACATTTCAGGAGGAGAGAGAATGTAGACCCTTCCTGTGTTGGAAAGCATTAATGAACTCACATCAGATATCCGGAGAGTGTGATGAGAGTATATATCTCCAAATGTTTCATACACAATGGAAGGTTCGGTCCCTCGCTGATTTCTCAGACGTGACACAGGCAGTGATCTGTCCGGTCACACATTTGACACATTCTTTTGGCCCCGGTCACCTAATGGGCATCACATGTGATATTGATGGGTCCTGACAGTTGGGCAGTCATGTATGCCTTATGAGTCATTTTTGTGACAGTTACCCAAAACTTTAATATTTTTGACTAGACTTTCACATTTTTTATTTGCTTTCAAGCTTTGATCATTGTCTTTTATATCGAAGATTTTTCATCATTTCCTCTAGTGGTCATCTCTGTAAGTGGGATTGTAATTTGTTGAATGCTGATGTAAGCTTGGTTGGCCTCACAGGGTGCCTCTTGGTTTTCAGTCAAGTCGTAGTTTACCCCGAGGCTTTCGGTGAGATATAAAAGCAGTGAAGCACAGTCATTAATTTCCGGAAGAAGCACATGAACACTGACTGGTAGAATCATTCACATTAAGCTTCTACCATTTAAATTAATATTTAAAAGGAACAAGGTTCTAATCCTCATTAATAGTAAGGATTGTCCGTTTAAATGGCCTTCATAGAGCAATATAAATGTTCGTATGAAGAATATGATTCTGCCGATTGTTAGAGCAATTTTTCTCAGCCTTTTAGCGCAGAGGAACCCTTGAAATAATTTAAAGTGTCAAGGAACCCGGCTAAAAATGATTTATATCTACAACTCATGGTAAATTTCTGTCATCAGTAAGGTGTAGCTATAATAATAAATAGAAAATGTGTTGTACTTGATGAAACCCCACTGTAGAAGTAAAATTAATAATGACAAAAAAAAGACACTGGAAATTGTAGTGTTGCTTTACATTGTGGTCATTAGAAGGTTTCCCTTATGTCGGTGGAGAGGGGCCACACTACTCTGTTGGTTAAGGGAGAGAGGTGGTGGTCGGCGCAAAGGGACCCCTTGGGCGCGGCGGTCGTGGGGCGCAAAGGGACCCCCTTGGGCACGGCAGTCGTGGGGCGCAAAGGGGACCCCCTTGGGCACGGCGGTCGTGGGGCGCAAAGGGGACCCCCCTTGGGCACGGCGGCCCCACTTACAGACCGCTAAAAAGATCACTGGCGTCAGTATAGAAAAGGTTGGGGCTCCACTAGTCCCATCTCATTGGCTCTGCCAGGTGACAGTACCAGAACTATGCAGGCAGTGTCAGGCCTGCATACAACTACTTGAGGAACTCTGGCCTTCCATGCACCCTTGGTTGATGATCTTTGATGTCCTGTTAACAATATTTTTGCTCCTAAAGCTTCATGCAAAATGCATGAAAAGGTCAGTGGCGCCATTATAGTCAGTGGCGCCATTATAGTCAGTGGCCCCATTATAGTCAGTGGCCCCATTATAGTCAGTGGCGCCATCCTTATCTCTGCCTTTTCTTCATGCAGTTCCAGTGGCAACTTACTATAAAGATCCCAATCTTGCTGTACATTTTGTATGCATTTTAACAACTCTTTACCTAGATGTGCACGGGACCTAAGATTTGGCTGTTCTCTAAATACGTCTGCTAGTGTATGACCATTATTTTTTCCCCACACAGGATGGATGTGCACATTTCTAATATAAACAATACTTAGCAGGCCCTCACTGACATATTAGACCTCATGCTCTGTGATCCACCATTTCTGCCTATTCAATTTGTCCCCATGCTTGTTAAATATTTTGGAAGCCAAGCAGTTAATTTCCATTTCCATGAAACCATTACCAGCTCCGCAAGCCGGATCCCAGAGCCAAGACTTGGTTTATGTTTTCCGTCTCCCCAGACTCCATCAGCTGGTTTTTATCTTTGAAATCTTGGTTTTGTTCTACGGAAAAATAATCGTGACGTCACTAATGCACTTTACGACCCGGGCCGTGCGGTGACTCAGACTGTCTGGGAAGATGTGGGGATGCACTTGCCAGAATGTTCAGTTCGGAGTAAAAAAAACAACAAAAAAAACCCCCCAAGAATCCCACTTGTTCAGTCATAAGTAGAAGAGCCGATTCTTCCCGGGCGGCGTAGCTGTAATTGGGTTTATCAAAGCAGATTTTGTTGTGGATACTGAAGCTGAACATGACTAGATATTCCTGGTAATTATCAGCCTTTCATCACACCGGGCTGAAAACTCGGCAACTCTCCGATCTGCCTTTCTTGATGGACAATTTTTATGGTTTCTAGGATATAATAAAATGAGGAATTTAAGTATTGAAGCCTTCCGGTGTTCTAGGCTGCAGCTGAATGACGAGGACATTTTTTAGGGGTTTTTCTGGTCCTTTATGGAGTAACATGGTGATCAATTTTTCTGACTGAAAGTTTGGGTAAAATAAAAATACATTCAGTACATCTCTGCAATACATATACATTTCAACAGGTGCTGTTTCTTTTAAAAAAGGCTACAAGTTTTATAACCATTCCTTTTGATCTGCCAGAATCCAATGAGCTCCTAACTTCCTGTATCGAGTTGACTACTTGGCCTCTGCTGCAATGAAATCCCAAGCAGTGTTGTCAGCCCTTCCCAGTTCACCTCTGCTGGATTACAGAACAACTGTCCCTTATGTTACTGAGATGAGAGAGGAGACATTGTTGTGTAGTCCAGCAGGGGATAACTGGATTACAGAACACCTGTCTCGTATGTTATGGAGATAATATGTTCTGTAGTCCAGCAGGGGAGAACTAGACAGGGCTAATGACCACACTGCTTGAGTTTTCAGTACAGCATAGGCAGGGTTGTCGGCTCAAATAGGAAGCTAGGAGCTCACTGGGTTTCCATTCAGATCAATGTTTATTTTTCTGTAGCCTTTTAAAGAGATAATGTGGGGAAATGTGAATGTATTCCAGAGATTTTACATATTTGTTTTTCCCACACATACACTATTTATAAATCGGTGAATGTTTTATTCAATGAACATTCTCTGTTGGCGAATCAATCCTTGTCCTTTAAAACACACAAGCTTGGAAGGATTACCTGCATAGAATGTTTGTTTGTCACATTTGCTGCTTTATAAATGTGCCTCTAAGTTTTCCGTACCAGCGATATCAAACCAGAGCTTTTCCTTTAGATTTCGTGCCTGCAACCTTGCAAGAGGTGATGAAGGGGGCGGAGCATTTCCCACTGACTTCCACATCAAGATGAAACAGAGATTGTAAAGTCCGACATTTGTACAAAGTAATAATCAACAGGCAGGAAGAGCCTCAGTCTCCTATCGCTGTGTAGTGATTATCAGGAAAAGGATGCGATAATGTCAGGCTCCGCCCCCCACTGTACTGGACCAGTAGGGCTTCCACGGCCCAGTTTCTCACCATGACCCATTCTGTACTACGAAGAGCCTTTTCCTTCTGCTAATTAGGCGGAAGTGTTGTGTGTCTTTAATGTAATCCACTTGCAGATTGAAGTCATTCTCCTGATAGCTTGATAGGGTTTATCTTGGCAGTCAAAACTTCTGTTCTTAAGTCGCCCATAGATTCTAGATGTGCGGTCACAAACACGAGCAATCACATTAGCTGTTTGTTTTGACGCTTATAAAGGCAGACGTCTCAAAAATAAAGGTTTCATGACCTGTGCAAACCCTATTCCTCCTGATAAGCCTTGGGATAGTGGTGTCAGCAAGCAACCCACAGGCATTAGTCATTATCAGAGGGATGCTTTCATGGAGCACCCATCCCATGGAAGACATAAAGGGCTTGTTTTGCATATTGCAAGTCCTCCTTGGCTCCGAAGATATGTCGGTCATATTTAAACTATGAGAAGCTTTTCTTTAGACTGAAGTTCTTTAAATAATGTACTGGTTACTTTTCCTCTTGGGGTCTCCAGGGTTTTGATCTTCTCTTTGGAGGTCCAGATTCCATCACTGTACTAGGCCTATTACAGGGGTGTCACAATTTAGCAGTTATGAGGATATCTTACTGATTTTGTCTGGGATTTAAAGTTGCAGTTTTGTTATAAAGTCCACCCAAAGCTGTAATATGGTGCTTGGGTGGACACGGCTTTTCACAATCCGTAAACCTTTAGTTATCCAGTCACGTGCTGCCAGATAGGTTTATTTCTGTGGCTTCCTCAGGAAGTTCTCCTTCCTTCCATCTCTTCTTTTTGTTCCTCCCTCCTCTATCTAGGACTAGTAGTTTTTTCTCAGCTGCTCCGTAGCATTTTTTTTCATAAAAGGTACTTCGTCTGCAGGCCACATGTGAACGAGGCTTTGCCGCCATGGAAGAGACCCACCTGAAGAAGATTGAGGACCTCCAGAGACAACACCACCGGGAGCTGGAGAAGCTGCGAGATGAGAAGGACCGTTTGTTGGCAGAAGAGACTGCAGCCACCATCTCAGGTACGTGGATATTGGATGCCGTAATGTAGCAGCAGATAAGTCTAAAGGCGCAGCGATTGAGACATTTTGAGTTCAAACTTGGCAAAGATAAAATGTAAATTTCATTGCACACCACTCCAATGAGAATTCCATGATTGTCGTACCTTTTACAAGTAAACTGACACGCAAGGTATAAAATGTCAGTCTATGGTGACTATGGGTCTTTATTGGCCTTGAAAGTTGTAGCGGACCTTTACCCCCTTTGACTAAAAGTCACATCAGCATACAGCTCTGCATGCCGATATGAAATCATCTTACATTCATTAGTTAAACAAACATATTTTAATTTTACTTACAATCTTTTTTACTACTTCCTGGTCCTATTTGGCACATATGATGTAATCGTGCCCAAGCATTGCATCCTGGGAAGGTTACATCAGCAGAGCATTGCTGGGAAATCTCATCTGTAATCTCATGAGATCTCAGGGAAAGGCATTTTCCTCCTCTGAGATGATGTGCTTGGTCACATGTCCTAGTCACATGTGCCAGAGTTCCAGGAAGTAAAGGGAGCTATATTAATCTGCCCTTTGTAAAAATGGCCGCTGTGAGAAGAATGGGGAGAAAAAAAAATAAGGAATGTAAAGAATAAAAAGCTGGCAATTATCTATAAGTATGTGTTTGTAGATTGTCATTACTAAACATCTCTAAAGGTGTGTTTGTTGATATAGGTAAAGCTCTTTAAAGTGTATCTAAACACAAGAACAAAATGGTCATACATTGCAGGTGACCAGTCTTTTAGATTTGTTTTGTTGCATTTGTTTACCTAATTTCAGGCTCCCCCCCCCCTTATTTTTACCTGATGATCCTGCCAGTAACATATTTCCTGTCCAAGGGTGGCAACGCTCACTCACTGTACTGAATCTGTGGAAGAGTAACATTTTTACTCAGGGACAGGTCTGCAGAACACCCCTGCTTCTCCATAACATACAGTGGCAGTGTCCTGTAGTTAACAAATAAAACCTAGGCAAGGGCGATAACACTGCAGGACGGGGACTAGATTTCTGGCAGGATCAGTTGGTATTTTTTGCACTTGAACAGGTATAACAAAATACTTCCAATGGTATATGTAAAACAGAAGTCTATTGGTGGGGAATACATACACTTTGAGTGTATTTTTAGGAGTACAGGAAGTACTCATGCAGATTTATTTTAGTGTGCTGCCCTTGGGAGAAAGGTGTAGCTGGGATTTCAGCCAAAAGCAGCAGCAGCACTCCTGTAACTATCAAAAGTAAATACAACATTCCCAGGACCCGTCCGAAGCATAGTTCCCATTCATATGCCAGTTTGAAGTGCACACATTGTACTGGCCAGTCTCCTGAGCAATGGCTTCTTTATCTGGAACAATATGGCTCCCAGAGACGAGAACTTTAGTTTCATGTTCTAACTTTTCTAATACACTGACCTTTTCTTATCTCTCCTGTAGCCATTGAAGCAATGAGGAATGCCCACCGCGAGGAGCTTGAGAGAGAGCTGGGGAAAACCCACCGCTCCCAAATCAGTAGCGTTAATGCGGACGTGGATTCTCTGCGGAGGCAGTACCTGTAAGCCACATGAGAATAAAGTACCTCACCACAAAAACAACTGACACTTGTTTGAAGTAGAACTGTGGCCGGGTATCTCAAAGCTACTACCAGGAGTCCCACCTAGATCACCAATCTATACCGAACGGACTCATCACATAGGATGTTGGCCCGTGACATTGCCACCCACAGAAATCTAAGACCCGCAGATGTGGTCAAAAGTGGTTACATATCGGCCAAAGTGATATATTTAAAAAAATCTTGTACCCAATTGATGTAAAGGTCTATAATATAGACAAACCACCACTCGTTAAAAAATTGCAGCACTGTCCCTTTAAAAAAAATTAAACACACAAGTCCGGCCTTCACTCACACCACATGCTATAAAGCACAGGGCTTCCCATGTTCAGCCATACTTCATTGGATTTTAAAGCTGCCCTATAATGTGCACTGCCATTAGATCTCCCTCCGCTTAGAGGAAAAGTAAAACATTCTCCTAGTGGGTTCTCAGCACTCTGCTCCCCACCTCTTCCTGCATGCCTGTGTTGTGTTTACATTGGTGATTAAGAATGCCAGCAGGTTGCCAAGCCACTACTGGGAGAGGGAGCAAAATGAACGGAGCTGCAAGAAAGAAACAAAGTATTTCTGCTGTTAACTTTTAAGATGAATTACTCCACAGTACCCGCAGCTACAGACATCAGTGAAGACTCGTTTTAAAGCTTATGTATGGTTTGTTGAGAAATACATAAATGTCCATGGCCTGACCACAGTTCTACTTTTAGGAGATAATGATGTGCTGACTATATCTGTTAGCTCTGATCTTCCGTATTGTTATCCTCACATGAGGGAGTCCAGTTTTGCCTCTGTGGATGTTTTTATAGATGAACTAAATTTTGTGTGACATTGAATACTTTTCTTGATTCGGCAGGGAGGAGCTGCAGTCTGTGCAGAGAGAGTTGGAGGTCCTCTCCGAGCAATATTCTCAGAAATGTCTGGAGAACGCCCACCTTGCTCAGGCGCTGGAGGCGGAACGCCAAGCTTTGCGCCAGTGTCAGCGAGAGAACCAAGAGCTGAATGCACACAACCAGGTGACTTGAATGTTTTGGTGTGGGACGGCTGATTACATAAAAGCCTTAAGGGTTAAAACTCTTATTTCTGGTTCTCTTTCATTGCATTTTAGGAGTTAAATAACCGCCTGGCCAGTGAGATAACACGGCTAAGAAACCTGGTAACAGGAGATGGGGTGGTATCGCCCCTGACCCAGGGGAAGGACGTTTATGAACTTGAGGTAACATGTCTATTTGGTCGCAGCTCTAGAGACATAAAATGACTGCTGTGATTAGTAGGTGACAGGTACACTTTATACATTTTGTTTCATCTTACACACACCATAATGACCAAACGTTTGTGGACATCTAACCATGACACATATGCTGCCTGGCCAAAAAAAAAGTTACCACCTGGATTTCGGGCAGTGTTATGATCTGGGGTTGCTTCAGTTGGCCCAGGTCTAGGTTCAGAAACATTATGTCCCCCTAAAATGAGGTCAGCTGCCGACCTGTATATACTGAATGATCAGGTTATTCCATCAATGGGTCTTTTCTTCCCTGATGGCACATTGGGCATATTCCGAGATGACAATGCCAGGATTCATCGGGCACAGATTGTGAAAGAGTGGTTCAGGGGGCATGAGACATCATTGTCACACATGGATTGGCCACCACTGAGTCCAGACCTTAACCCCATGGAGAAGACTTTACAGAGGTCTGAATCTCCCATCATCACTACAAGATCTCGGTGAAAAATGTTTGCAACTCTGGATGGAAATAAATGTTGTGACATTGCATAAGATTTTGGAGGGTGTCTGTGGGAACTTGGGCCTATTGAGCCATAATAGCATTTGTGAGGTCAGGTACTGATGGCATTATGTTGAGACTTTTGAATGAGTTCATAACAGTGTTTTACAATGTTCCTGGAATTCCGCTGCAAAGCACTTGGTTGTGGTATGCTGTAAGGTGGCACTTATGCATTGTGTAATGTTTGCTCCCTCACGCAGGTCCTTCTACGGGTGAAGGAGTCAGAAATCCAGTATCAGAAACAGGAGATCAGCTCCCTTAAAGATGAGCTGCAGACAGCTCTGAGGGTAAGTCATTTCCCTTATGTCTCGTGTTATTTTACATATCTATCACTGAGCAGATGGCATTGAGTTCAAATGCTGTCCTGTAGTGGTTTAAGTGTATATCTGGAGGAAAAACCCCATGTGCAGTACGTCTCTGCAATACATGCACATTTCCCCAGGTTGTATCCATTTAAATATGCTGCAAGTTCAGACAAATACCTGTTGATCTGCCAGAAATTCAGAAAGCTCCTTTTAATTCATTCATTGGTGTTTGCTTTAACTGGAACCCTGCTCCCAAAAACTAACGGCTGGATTTTGCTATGGGTGACATATAATCTTTTACCTCCACTCAAGTAGCAGTCTTATCCTTCTGCTACAATAACAGCCCCTAATGTTTGCAATGCACTGTATTCTCTTCCTCCCTACCCCCAAGGATAAGAAGTACGCCAGCGACAAGTACAAAGACATCTACACAGAGCTGAGCAACGTGAAGGCCAAGGCCGAATGTGACATCACCCGGCTGAAAGAGCAGCTGAAAACAGCCACCGAGATGCTGGGGGAGAAAACCTCTGAGACGGCATCGGTGTCTGGATATGGTGAGTCACTCTGCAGAGTGCTGCTGTGGAGGCGAGAGCGGATTCGTGCGCTTTGCCTCGCCGATGTCGTTGATTTAATAGCAACATTACATTCATTTCATTTTCATCAACTGCCCTGACATGACAAAACATGGTTTTTATGCTGCAGATATCATGAAATCTAAGAGCAACCCAGATTTCCTGAAGAATGACAGGTCCAGCATTAACAGACAGCTGCGGAATATCAGGTCCAAGGTAGGCAGAGCTAAGGAGCGCCATATTGAACTTGATAGATCTATGGTGCGGGGTTCTTTAGGTGGGCTTTTCTAGGCAATTTATTGGGGGTGGGATGATTTTGAGGATTGGGGAAAACATTTAGTCCCTTACATCCAGCCTTCCAGTTGGCAGAAAGGTGCCAGTTGTGTAAATGCATGATGGCGGAAACTGTTCCTTTCCCATCGTACGGGTTTCCTTATTGCCATCTCCTGAGTGCTTCTATTTGCAGTAGGATCTGAATGTGCGCCACCTGACAAGGCTTTTGTTCAACACAACCTGAGACCCAAGTGCACAAATTTTGCAGCGACTCTTTGCTGAAAGCTTGGGACTCTCCAGCTAGGGCAAGGAAGCCTCTGCGTGTCTAGCATTCAACAAAGTGCTCTCAAATAATGAGATCCTTGATCTCTATGGTGAATAATGTGCATTCTCCAGAGGTGGTGAACACAGCTGACCTGAAAGCCAGGCTCCCGGCTACCAGACTCCTGATCCAAAATCTGTACACTATGGCAATAAAAATAAAATCTGTACCAATTGACCGTGTAAAGATGATTTGATCTGTGACGCCCTTTTCCCTGCCTTAGCCTTGTAAATTTTATTTCTCCAGTTGGTCACTCCGTATAGATCATAAATGTCTGCTTGTTAGTAAGTATATGTGATTAACTCCCCCCCCCCCCTTCCCCCTCTCTGTCAGTTTGTTAGCAGCGTGGGTTATGCAGGAAGTGCCCACATTGTATCACAGTGTTACGGGTGGGTAATGGGGTTTCAGCACAATCACCCAGGATTCATGCGCTTTCTCTGTCTGTGTCTGTGTGTCCCTTTGTCCCTGGCAGTCCGTAATTGAGCAGGTCTCATGGGATAACTGACAAGTTCCACGTACCAGGTTCCCTGACATGTAGGTAAAACCACGGCCAGCAAACTGTGCATGCAGAACTTTCTCTCCATCCCAAGCGCTGATGTCCAGCCTGCACCTCTCTCACAGCCACAGTCTTTCAGATGACAATGTACGCAGCGGGGGTCACACACCTAGGGTTTCCTTGCTGATCCTGATACTCTCCTCCTATTCTACAAAACGATTGCAGAAGGACAGCTGTGGATGCAGGAATTTGTATAGGAAGCGGGTGATGAGATTGAGTTATAAATGTTATCACAAAACAATACAATGTAAACAAAAATCAGCAAATAAAAACTACTGTGCTACCTCGGTTCACGAACAGGCAAAATTTTGCTTCCATTCACAAACTCCACATGGGTGACTAACACAACCGCAACCATCTTTCCCGCTCTGACACATGGTCGTGGCTTCCTCTAGTCGACATCGCGATCTGATCTGTTTGATTCAGTTCACCACCAGAATCGTGGAACAAATTAAGTTTGTGAACTGAGGTACCACTGTATTCTTTTCCCTAACATTACGGGGTTGTCTCCTTTTAATAGGCGATAGTGCCAAGCTATTATAGTGACGGGACACAGTTTAGAGGCCAGAGGGCTCCTGTGATCTAGAATCAACTCCAGATAAATTGTGCTCTTTGTGAGGGTGGCATGGGGCTCTTTTTTTTTTTTGGATACCTGCGTTGATTTAAATCTGCTATGGGTATAAAAAAGGCGAGGACTAGACTATACTGAGTATATGTGAGTAACTCTGGACATGTCACATACACTGCACTGCCCCATAGTGTGAACTAGTGTGTTCCTTTACAAAACTACATATAAAATGTTGCCATGCAGCTCGTAAACCTAATGTAGGAAATTTGGTAATTATGGATCCTAATTCCACATACAGCTTGCCGTTTCTTCAAAGTGACACTTCACTCAGGAGTTAAATCCTAAAAATACATTCAGGTACCTTAAGTATGAACAACAATGTATCCTATTTGTGTATCACTCGGCTGTAGATCCTCCAATCCTCTCTGAATTGGTGCTGACACCGTCCTTCCTTCTGGAGGGTGACTACTTTTGTTCCCCATGGTCCCTGTGTGTGTTGTAAAGTAGTCACCACTCCAAGCTCACTCCTGTGATGGACTACAATCTTGCGTTTGTAGTCCATCCCGGGAGCGAGCTTGGAGCGATGACTACTTTACAACACACACAGGGACCATGGGGAACAAAAGTAGTCACCCTCCAGAAGGAAGGACGGTGTCAGCACCAATTCAGAGAGGATTGGAGGATCTACAGCCCAGTGATACACAAATAGGATACATTGTTGTTCATAGTTAAGTTCCTTGAATGCATTTGTAAGAATTATGTCCTGAGTTTGGCATCACTTTAATACTGCCAGTGGGATTGGCAAGCCTGAGCTACTTGGATAAGTTTTGACACTATTTGCTAAATCATCTCCTGTAAAAAAAAAAAAAGCCCCATTACATTTTTGATATTGATAGAACAGAACATACACATGGAGATCAGACCGTTCAGCTGAAGCATGTGGCAGCTCGATTGTTTTCTTTAGCACAAAATATTGATTGTTGTTAAAAATGCTTTCAACCAAATGGCAGAAAATAAGTTAGCCTGGGGGGCTTCGTGGCGATATGGGGTTAGGGCATAATGCTAGCGGAAATGACGTTCACATCATAGGTGCCGCATGGGCCTTCAATCCAAGGAGTTCTGCAGGGAATTGTAGTCCAACACGGGTACTCATCCTTAGATACATTCTATGGCGTGTCAGGTTACTGAGGGTCTGTGAGTCTAATGTCTTCACACCCCTTCTGTTTTGTACCTATAATGTCGCCCCTTCTGTGTGCATCAGCAAGCACGGCAATCGCCCTCCTCCAATGTTGTCTGTGTTTGTAAGTGATGGACACGACCAAATTGCTCATTTTATAAATTGTTAGCTGGGGCGGTATTTCCAGTAAGGGAGGAACAAGTAGTGTTGTAGGGGAAAATCCTTACATTAAGGATTTATGTGTGGAACATCTTAGTGGAAAATGAGCTCACTTGGATACTTGGCATCCACTAGACGGAGCCGTATGACTGGAGATCTGCTTTTACGGGCTTCTGGTTAATTTTAGAGAATGCATTGTACTTGTTTAGCATTTACTCTCAGCAATGACCTTGCAATTAGGAGAAGTGTATATTAGGAACTCCCTGGCCAAGTCTGCTGTGACTTTAAGTACTGATAGTGTTATAGCTGAAGCAGTGGATGTAACCGCAATACAGGTGACGTTCCAATACAGCAACGTTTGTCATGCCTTCAGTTTGGGGTAAAACTAGGCAAAGGTATACGCAATAAGCATGTGATTTTTAGCATTGTGTAGAGTGCAGCTAGCTATGAGGCGATTCCCCTATATGGTACAAGATGACTTCTGTTTGGTCTGCGTGGATTATTGTGCTTTGTTACTCTCTGCACCATGCTATTAACCCTGGTCAGTAGTAGCTGTGCATCCTGGTCTGGTCAGTAGTAGATGTGCATCCTGGTCTGGTCAGTAGTAGATGTGCATCCTGGTCTGGGCAGTAGTAGATGTGCATCCTGGTCTGGGCAGTAGTAGATGTGCATCCTGGTCTGCTGACCTATACAGCAAATTGTCTCCAGCATCACAGATTGTGATATAGGTCATCACACAGGGCAAACATTGACTTTGCTTTTTTGCTGCAGACCTGATCAGCAACAAAGTTGTAGTTCGCACCTTTCAGCAGCAGGTGGCAGTGCAGGCAGAAGCAGGAGTTTCAGATGTTAGTAATGGGGAAGGCAGGTCCATTCTGTATCACTCCCGGAAGAGGAAAGCTTCCGGCTGCCTTGGAAATCTGCTTCAGATTAGAGATTTTGCTCAATAATATTGCAGCACATTTCCTGCCATAGGCGAGCAGAAATTACCGGAGTAGATAAGCTAGGACAGTGAGATTAGCTGCAGCTCATTATGTTTTTGCAATGAATCCGATAGTGGCACTTAGCTGCAGTTCACACATTCCCATAATCTTCCCATTTTGTGGCTCCCCCACCTCTTTTGGTCTCTTCCAATGTGGTATTCACTCCTCTCACCAACCTGTCCATGTGTGACTCACCCACCAAGACACTCCTGTCTGTCTTCAGCATGCATCACTAATCTGTGTACGTGTGCCATGTGTTCATACGCCGCTGTGTTATTTCCAGCTCTCCGAATTGTTCTCATCTCACCCATGCCGTGTCTCCTCTTCTCTCCGCACAGAGCCTGAAGGAGGGGCTAACGGTCCAGGAGCGCCTCAAAATCTTCGAATCCCAAGACTATAAGAAACACTAACAGTACGCAGTCAGAATTGTCAGTATTAAGGCACGTCTGCCAGACAATAAGCTATCAGGTGTGAAGACGCTGGGGACGTGCACGGGACCCCCCCCAACATGCGGCGGGGACCCGTCGGCGCTCTACTGGGGAGGAACTGAACCACAAAGCAGACACATCTGACAGGGGCCTCTTTGCTGGGGCAATGAAGAGACTCCTGCTCTCCCCGCAAATGTCTGTAGTTATTTATATATATGTGTACCTGTGTGTGTGAAGTATGTGTACCTTATAGGGGACGTGCCCAATAAAATGTAACTAACCATTATCGCCCTTTAGATACAATCTACGTCCTGCTCTGTGTCTGGCTGTGAAATCCTTCAATGGTCGGAGGAAATGTATGTGGCAGGTATCGGGAGACGAGGAAGGAAGGTGTCTGCCGGCCCTCTGTAACAGGAGGCCGTTATCGGGGAGTTCTTCAGAATATGGCTTCCTTTATAATATTAGGTCATCGTAGGTCGGGCCTAACAACGTTCACAAAGACCGGGCCTTGAGGAAGAATTATAAGATCCATTCTCAAATTATAACTTGCAGACTTACAAGCGTGCCCATCGGTATGAAATCACAAAGCCCCACCAGTGTTATATACAGCTATGGCATGTTGGATATTGTTCTGCTTCCTCAGACAGCATTGTGTTATCAGTATGAGGCCTCACCAGAGCGGTCTTGTGGACAATTATAATACTTGCATCAGCCCGGCTGTGACTGGTGCTCTTTAATATAAATATATCGTATGCCATTTATCAAAGGTCAGACTGCAGGGTACAAGTTCTGCGTCACACTGTGCAATAGTCCTTCCCTTTCCTGGCTGCTGAGCAATATATAGAGCAGGGGTAGGCAAACTCCGGCCCTCCATCTGTGGTGCAACTACAAGTCCCATGAGGCATTGCAAGATTCTGACAGCCACAGGCATGACTCCTAGAAACAGATGCGTCATGGGAGTTGTAGTTTTGGCTGGCGTTTGCCCCACCCTGGACATAGACACTCTTGGTTTGTCCTGCATGATATCCCCGAGGTGGATTCCTTTAGGTTCAGTTCTGTATATTTAGTTTCCAGTTCATATGTTGTGCGGAAGTGACTGGTGATTTGGAGGCTTTTCCACCTTTGAGGTCGCTCTGCATGCCCTTTCTTTTTTTCGGTGTAAGTATATATTCATTGCAGGCCTGATGTATAAATGAAGGAACAAAAGGTGGGGATGTTGCCGATAGCAACTCACTGCATTTGGTTTTTGCTACCGGCAACCGCCTCTGTCCTTATATTGGGTCTGCCGCGGGTCATTTTGTGGGCTGAACAGTGCAGCCTGTCGGATCAGTATGTGTGTTGGTGGAGCACTGGGCAAAAAAATACCCTTTGTATACAGTTCTTACAGGCAGCTCTCTGTCAGCCAAGGGGGTCCCTGGAGAAGCATGTATAAGGATGAGAACACCACGGGTTTGTATTAAGTCCAGTATAAGTCTATTACAGGTCAGAGGATATTTCTAACGCGTTTCGTTGGCTGACGACTCCCCTTTATAAGAGCTTGTGTGCTGGTGGTTATTTGGGTGTAGCGGACAGCCAGAAATAAAAATGGAGGCTTAGAGAGGACACAGGCCACCAGTCTGAGAGAGGCTTGTGAATACTCTAATTTTGCTGTCCAGTACAAATATCTGCCAGCACACAAGTCATGATGAAGGGGAAGTTGTGAGCCCCTGAAACGCGTTAGCTACATCCTCTGACCTGTAATAAACTTCTACTGGACTAGATGCAAAGCTGTGCGACTCTCATCCTTTTATATACTATTCAGTATGATCTTGTGGCTTAATCAACTGCCATTGGAATGCATCCCATCCATTACGAAGTGGCTTGTTGTAACTAATGGAAAGGCTTCCTTCTTCTGGACATTTGAACAGAAAATGGCTTCCGCTGCTGCCGCCTGTAAGAACTTTGTCCTTTTGGAGCTCCATGGGAGGACTTTGTTAGGTGTTGTATCGCCAGATGTGGTATGTCGTGGCAATGTCGTCTTATAAGTGGCTCGAGACGTAAAGTGGAATTTTCTGTATTTTACGTTTGATATTTGTTTGCAGAAAGTTTAAGTATTGTTGATATTTTTTTTGGTTGATGGGGGAAGTGTTTAAATGTTGATTTGTCTGCAGTGATAGAAGGCTGAAATTGTCAGATTTGTTCTGGTTTCTGCAGAGATTTCCTCCGGTGCTCCGAATATCCTTTATATAAATGCTGGGATTCCCTTTAATGGGAGGAGGAGGGGCCTATTGTGCCTGTACATCCAGAGAGTGCCGGAGGAAGGTGACGGAGGTCTATACAAGTGTACAGAACGTAGGCGCAGTGCAAGTTTCTTGTTTGTCACTGTAATGTGCAATGTGGTCACAGTATGTCGGATGATGGGTGTGATGGGAGTTGAGCTCTTCGGGAGGAGGGGGGATTAGGGGTGGTACTGATCAGAAGCCACACTGTGAATTGGGCTTGAGATATCGGGTTAGAAAGAAAAGAACAACCTGCTACCCCATTATATGATTATAAAAGGAGATCTCCATTAAGATCTTTATTTTCTTCAGATAGAATGGGGAAGTTTTATTTACTGTGTTCCTGCTGGGGAGACGTCCTCTCGGTTCCGGTTCTAACCCTTCCCCAATCTACTCACAGGAAAAAAGTGTTGTATCCCCCCTTTAATTCATCTGTAATATATAGTATTGTAAGTGTTCAGTGATTGTAGTGCAGCCATATAGTAAGCCCAGCAAACAGGCCAGCCTGTCAATTTATCAGAATCATATTGAGCAGCTGAATGCTAGCTGTGATTACAAAATGGCGGAGGTGACAGGTCCACTTTACTGTCATGCTGCTGCATCACTAGAGGTACCACCAAGTCATAAATGCTTCTTCTATCCCCGAGTCATCTCTGCTGCTGGGTAAGGGGTCTGGCCGGTCTGACTGATGTTGGAGCTCCTCTTTCCAGGGTCTTTGGTTCTCCAGCCAGGGGCACTGGTGACACTGGGGGGGCTGCAGTGTCAGTGATTGCCGCAGCTGTCCGGCCATTCTCCTGTCCCATGAATGATCTGCGGCATTCGTCATGCAGCAGACTTGCAGGGAGGGGCAGATGTAAACATTATTTGATAAATACTCGGTAGTACCCTATTGGTGTTCTGGTGAGCTGAATGGGTAAGGATTTATACTCCAAATCCATTTTGCCTAATCCCGCCCCGGTTTCCACTTTTCATGTGGGAAGAAAAGACTCATTTGATCCAGCAGCATCTTCCTGATTGTAACTCTAAGAATGCAACTGTTTCTGGCACTGGTGTCCACTTTAGGGGTCACCGCCCTAATAAACATGTGGGCTGCCATTGCCAATATGCATCTCTGAAAATCCTAGTTGCCTGGCTGTCATGCTGATCCAATGGCTTACAGTTAATGGGCCTGATCTGTGGACTTTCCCTTTAAGTATTGTAGCAATGTATCACCCTGACAGCACA